AAAAAAAAAAAAAAATCACCTCATTAGTATTTTTTCATAAAAGCTTAGTATGTACCTCCACCCAAACTGCCAAACTCGATTTGGCTCTTACTGGTAAGAGCCATGAAAAATAAACATTAATTAGGCCCTAAAATTTATAGATTAGGCCATGGGCCTGATTAAAAATAAACCCAGTAATTGGATGAAAAATGTACCATCTTTACTTTTCAATTTACTCTCTCTTTTTTTTTTTTTTTTTTTTTATATGGAGTCTTGCTCTATCACCCAGGCTGGAGTACCCATGGTGTGATCTCAGCTCACTGCAACCTCCACCTCCTGGGTTCAAGCAATTCTCCTACCTCAGCCTCCTGTGTAGCTGGGATTACAGGTGCGCGCCACCACACCCAGCTGTTCAATTTATTCTTCATCTGGCATTCTTTGAATGAATGTAATGGGATTTTTGTGGGTAACCCTTTTAATGGTTACTGTTTGAGAATTTGATTGCAGTTGGTCATAACTAGTATAAAGCCCTGTGTTCAGATGCTCCTGCTGATGGAGAGGAGTAAAAGTGGGGACCTTCCATTTTTCTGCACTGTATCTGAGATGCTCAGGCAAAAATTTAGCATGACCAGGCAATGCTGAGAAACCTTGAGACCCACCAATGTGTCTAGATCCTATTCTCTCAGTTTCACTCAGAGGTCCTTTTGCTTATTACCAATATATGTAGACCTTTAGTAGCTTTTGATAACTATGGGATACAATAGAAAAAATAGTGTTAATATATCAGTACTGGTTAAGCTGTTTACTTGCTTGGGAACTTAGTGCTATATCCTGAACAAGTATTCTTTTTTTTGTTTGTTTTTTGTTTTTGAGACAAAACAAAGGGTTTCGCTCTGCCACGCAAGCTGGGATGCAGTGACACTATCATAGCTCACGGTAGCCTCAAATTCCTGGGCTCAAGCAATCTTCTTGTCTCAGCTTCCCAAGTAGCTGAAACTACAAGCACACACCACCATGCCTGGCTAATTAAAAATTTTTTTTTTGCAGAGATGGGGCCTCTCTATGTTACCTACGCTGGTCTTGAACTTCTGAGGTCAGGGAGGGATCCCTCACCCTAGCCTCCCAAAATGCTGGGATTACAGTTGTGGGTCACAGGTGCCCAGCCTGAATATGTATTTTTTTTTTT